TAACAAAAAGCCTAAGCTGTTTTACACTTCCCCGTGTCCTTCCAGGATGTGAATTCAACTTTCTCCTCTCTGCATCACACTACCTCCTATTTGCCCTCTCCCAAACACACATGCCCTCTCTCTCCACTGTCCCTTCTGGAATGGCTGTTCCCTCCACCTTCACCTGTGCCTCAGCTGTCAACTAGACCTTTAGGTCATCTGACTCCATGCTCCTTAGGAGCAAAGAGCATTGTACCATCCACACAGTCGTAATTCTCATATTAAACCTTATCCTCCGTAGTAAGGGCACACACATCCCTGGTGTTTAGATAGTGAAACACTAACTTAAGGTCATCACAAGGGGCATTTTCATCTATGATGTATACACACCTCATCACCTAGGGCAGAACTCAGAGTCTTCTATGTATGTTACAAATGCTGAGCAAGCACTTTATCACTGTTACACCCCCAGCCCACATCATTTCACTTTCACTTCATCAAAAAATTGAGAGGCGTTGATATAAGCTCATCATTGGCCTATGATCATCACTATGACAAGTATGGAACACAGAGTCCCAGATTCCAGGCTATACTGCTGTCACGGCCTGCTTTCTCTGTCTGTCTTCCCTTGCTTTCTTTTTTTGTGTGTGGGGGTATACTCATGTATCTATCTATCCCAGAGTGGTCTTGCACTCACTATGTAGCTATGAATGACCTTAAACTTCAGGTCCACCTCCTGAGTGCCGTGATTACAGACTTGCACACCTTGCTTACATGGTACTGGCGATGGAACCCAGGTCCTAAAGCCAGATAGGTAAGCAGCACTCTACTAACTGAGCTACATCCCAGGCCCCTCCAGCTATTTTCAATAGAGGATAATCTTGCTTTCAAGATTCATACTTAGTGCATAGAAGATAAAATATAATTAAAAAAAATTATGAGCCAGGTAATTGTGGAACACACCTTTAATCCAGCACTCAGGAGGCAGAGGCAGGTGGATCTCGGTGAGTTTGAGGCCAGCCTGGTCTACAGAGTGAGTTCCAGGACAAATAGAGCTGTTACACAGAGAAATGCTGTCTCAAAAAAAAAAAAAAAAAAGCTGAGACACTGGTGCAATACTACAACTGCAATACTTATAAAAACACAGGCTTCTTTTGCTAGGAGAAAACCACACGTTCAAATGAAGGCCTGAGCTGGGGAGATGGCTCAGTGGGTAGAGCACTTGATGTACAAGCCTGAAGACCTGAGTTCAGATCCCCTAAATCCACATCAAGAACGACGTGGTAGTCCCATCTATAAATTCAGTGCTCCTACAGTGAGAGGCTGAGACAAGAAAACTTCCAGAAGCTCATGGGGGTAGCTAGGCTGCTCTACACAGCAGCAAAGGAGATCCTACTTCAGGAACCAACACCCAACGCTGTCCTGTGACCTCCACACACAGAGGCGTGCACATATACACACCCACAAGAAACAAAGGCAGCATTGCTGGACTCACCCCGTTTCTGTTAATTCTGCTTTTATATCCTTTTCCCTCTTCCAATTAGTGCCTGATACACTGCCAGCCCTCCTGTTATCTCAAATAATTCACACAGGAAAGTGCTCTGAATTGCTAAGTAGCTACTTTAGATGCTTGGATATAATTTGGAGCAATTTTGAGCACTTAATTTAGGAATTGAGCAAACTATCCCTATCAATGTACTTTCTTCTGTAAAGTGACTGATAATTTAGGCCCCTCAAATATGGGTTCTCTGAAGACCCTTGTCACTCAAAAGGCAATTTAAAATAATCTGTTTAGACCACTAAATTAAATGTGAAGCATCTAGTGTCACCTAATCCAGCTTCTTCTTTATATAGAACTTGATTCTAGTAAAGTTAGTTTTCTAGGAATTTATATAGCAACAATTTAAATTGAGGCTCATGACCCAAAACAATGCTAAATTTGCTGCCCATTATACAATTTTTTAAATTAATTAACTCATTTGTTTAGGGCTTCTTTTGTGTGTGTGATAGACCAGGCTGACCTCAGGTTCACAGAGATCCACCTGCCTCTGCCTCCCAAGTTCTGAGATTAAAGGTGTTTAACACCATGTCCAGCATTTTAATCTCTTGAAGCAGATATTGCTATTTTCAAGTAAGACCTGCTCAGATGAAATTACCCAGTTTTGTTGTTGTTGTTTTGATTTTTTTGTTACCCATGCAGCAAAATCAAGGATTAGAAGTTGGTTCTTTCTGGGTCTAGAGCCCTATTTCAGTGGTTAAGAATGGCTTAGTGCTCTTCCCAAGGACCCTTGTTCAATTTCCAGCACCCAAGTCTGTCTGTCTCTCTCACACACGAACCATTAAGTTTTTTTTAAAAAAAATAAAGTTGGTTCTTTCTTGCAGTTTATGCTATTGAAAAGCAAGTTGCAAAAAATTAACGTTTGTTGTTGTTTTTTGAGACAGGGTTTCTCTGTGTAGCCCTGGCAGTCTTAGAACTCTGTAGATCCACCTACCTCTGCCTCCAAAGTGCTGGATTACCACCCGGCCCCAAAATGAGCTTTTAAGGGCAAGCACAGCTATGTGAACTGCACAGAAACCAGAGGATTTGTAGTTATTTACAACAAACTCTAAAATCAAGCCAGTGACTCAAGAGATAGTGATTCCAAACTCATTACCAACTCCTCAGCTAGAACACAGTAAGGGCTCAACTCCTTGTGCAATGGCCGTGAACAGTTCAAGGGTAAACTTCTTAAATAAAAAACAAAAAATACAATGAATGTACAGGAACCATTTAATGTTCTGGAAATGTTCATAGAATTTCACTAGTTTGTACAATTAAAGTTATTTAAAAATAAAACTACCTTAACATGGATCACAATGAATAAATAACCCAACTTCAGCTGGTAAGATATGTAATCTGAAAGTACTCTCTCTGGGAAACCGTCATAAACATGCTGTTCTGGAATGCATGTGGAACCTAGCAACCACTTTTAAAGTTGCATTTGCCCTTCTCTCTCTCTCTCTCTCTCCTTTCCCACTCAAGACCTAAATATCTTTAAGAATCAGGTTATTTAGTCCAGCTCTTTCCCACTGACCTCCACTGTTAACTACATGAATCACCCAGTTTTTTGCTTTTTAAAGAAAAAAGGAAGAAAACCACGACACACCAGAATTTTGCTTTAAAAAAGTTAGTTGTGGTGGTGGGGAGGGGGGAGAGGGAGAAACGGGAGGGAGGGAGGGAGAAAGGGAGGGTGTACTTTTGGGCCTTACTCTTCAGAATTCACTTACAAGGTGAAATTTCATAGTGGCCGTTATTTACTTACACAAGCAAAAAGGTATAAATGAACTCAGTATTTTACCTTCTCCTCCGCCACATCCCTACCGCCGAACCATCATGTCCTGTCCTATACATGCTCACAGTTTCCAAGAAGGCTAGAAAAGGTATGTTTGGGACCCATAGACAATTTCCTTCCACTAAGATAAAAAGGGTTTTTTTTTAAAAAAACCGGTCTGATGGGGCGAGCCACGGGAAACGGACAAACGGGGGATAAAGAGCAACAGAGAGGAGAAAGCCATCCCGGAACCGGAGCCCCTGGGAGCGCGCGCTGCTCCTTCCACTCCAGGTCACGGAAACCGGAGAACTTAAACCAGGTAACAACGCCCCAGCAACCTCAGGCGAGGCGGGCTGCTAAACCAGGGTTCGAGGCCCCTCAGGGGTGTGACCGGGGGAGGACAGACCGGCAGTGACCAACTCTGGGTGCCGCCAAGGACGGCGCGGCGCTCCGGTCACCCCGGCCTTGGTGGGTGGGTGGGGCGGGCCCGGGCGGCCCGGCAGGGGCGAGGGACCCGCTCACTTTTGAAGAAGCGCAGCGCCAGGCCGTACAGCTCCTCCAGGCCGAAGCCCCAGTGCTGCTCCATCCGCCGCGCCTCCTCGGCCGCGCCCTCGGCG